CAAAAAAAAGTATAACACAAAATATGATTTTTTCATACACAACAACACAGCATTTGGTCTAAACACTACTTTAGTCTCTACTACTACTTTATTTTCTCCTTTGTTGTCTCCATCTACTGCTCACATTGCAATTAAAAAAAAGAGAGATGGACACACGAACCGAGTTCACAAGGTTGTCTGTGTTTTCAATAATCTACTCCATTCGTAGTCTCCTCCATACTTAAGGGACAGCACATTGTTAAGACGGTTAGAGTCTTCTGGTTTGATGGAGCTTGCAAACGCATGCCAGCCTATAAGGTGCGGCAAGATGAACTGCAACACAATGTATAAAAGTTAAAATAAAGGCAAAGGGATTTTTCACAAAGAGATAAAGATAAAGTGAGGGCTTACGTTGAAAGTAGAGATAAGAACAGCAAACTCTGCTTTAGTGATTGGTAAGTATACACTCTCAGCCCGTTGGCAAGCTGAACACATTTGTCCAGCTCGCCAACGGGCGAGCTGACCACACATGTAACCAGCTCGCCAACGGGCGAGCTGAACACATTTATCAAGCTCGCCAACAGGCGAGCTGAATTCAACCATCTGTGCCCCTCGACTCAATCGTACTCTGAACCGTCAAACGTCTATCATTTCGTCTCAATCCGCCTTATCGTTTGAGTTTTACGACAAAAACCGTAAAATGCGTGTTTTTAATAAAATCTCGAGTAAATCGTATAAAACGGCAACGGTTAAACTAAACACTGAAAATTGCCAAACTATACGATTAAGTCAAGATGTTTTCATTACAAAAGAAAAATACGCGTTGTCTCGTAAAACCTCGAGTAAATCGTATAAAACGGCAACGGTTAAAGAAACACCGAACATTTCTGAACTATGCGATTAACTCGAGATCTTTTATAAAAATTCACTGAAGACGCGTTTTCTCGTAAAATCTCGAGTAAATCGTATAAGACGACAACGGTTAAACGAAACACCAAATATTGCCAAACCATACGATTAATTCGAGATCTTTACTTGAAAACGGTATCGTATCAGGAAACGATCTCGTCTAAAGTCGCAAAACGGCTAAATCGTAAAACGGCCCGAATGGTCCTAAAACGCGATAAAGGCCCACTCGTGACTTTGAATAAGGTCCATCCCAAAGATACAATGACGGTTTGCCTATTATCCGCAGAAGTGGATAAATGTCAAGATTGAAGATAAATAGAAGTTTTCCGAAGAAAAATGGAAAGATCGAGATAAATGGAAGATTTCCAATAAGCGCGGATCAAGGCGGAAAAGGAAAGACCAAACCGCATAGAGGAGGAGTATATAAGCAGAAGGTCGAGGACGGAAGTACGGGATATTTTTTGAGAACTCTCTTCACACAAACTTATAGCATTTAGGTAATTTTCTGTTTTTGATATCGAGCTGCGTCTCAACTAGGGTTTTAGTCTTAGATTGCTAGATCTAGGAAATTCGCCGTCAGCTCTTGTAGCCAAGGATAATTTCGTTGTACCGTTATTACGCAAACAGAATAAGAAACCTCTTTGTTCTCCTTTCAATTCTCAATCACATTATTATCTCTTGTCGTATTCTGATTGCTTACGTGTGGTTAAGCAGATAGTTGGGACCTCTGGGAAATTAGGGTTTCCCCTAAGTTCCTTTATTCACGGAAATCGACGGTGTGAATTTCGGTTTCCACAGTTTAGCGTTAGAAGGAGGGGGGGTCACAGATCTATCTAACTCTCAGACCACATCACGCCCAGCCGATCACGATGACAGAAGAACAACCAGCCGACGTCGATGTGAACGATGAAACAAAAACTCCAGCAACAAACGTCACTACAATTAACGCTATGGCCAACACTACGACGCTGCAGAAGGCACTCTCCGCCTATCAAAAAAGTACGGATGAACATGATAAGCTAATCGGATCTTTTGCGTAATAGGTCGAAACCTTAACCGCGAGAACCAAAGCTATCTGCCCCCACGAAACTACAAAAATCCATGGAAGAAGGATCGATTTTCGCAACTCCTATGGATCATCCCAGAACCGAGCAGGGTAATCAACCGGGGCAAACCTCCGAGAAATATAACCCTGACGCAACACAAAAAGACTTGGAAAAATCTCCTTCTCGCGAACAGGAGATCGAGGACGATGGTGTCGAAAGGGTGAATCTGGAAACCAGCGACCAATCCGATCCTTCGGAGGAAGACACTGATGTTCATCCGAGAAGGAGGAACGATCGCAGTCCTCAGCCTGATTCTTCTCTCGAACACTCCCACCGAGGACGAGAAAGAGCTTTATTACATGGAGCATGCGAAAACGGCCGAGGAACAATCTCAAGTTACTCACAGCAAACGTCGATGGAGTCGGAAAACTGCTGGCGACCCAATTGAGATTCGCGATCTCCGCGTTATGGCTTTGTTTGTATATTGTTATTTCGTATCACTAATGACTGTTTTAATATAAATATTTATTTTCGTCCATTATTTCGAAAAGGATAATTTCTTACAATTACTCCAAACTTCTCTAACATAATATACAAAATACAAGATGGTTTTATATTCCAAAACTGAATCTTAACGTAATAAAGTTATAATGGGAGTCGGCCCTTGACAATTGCATGATGTATCTTGTAGACAATGCCTACTTTGTTTGTTCTTATAAGGTATATTGTTTGATACTTTGATTAAAAAGACTACATCTTAGAAATATATTGTTATATTGTCAAAAATGTATTTTTTTGGATCAAACGACATATTCATTCATTCATAATCTGCAAACCAAACTAGTTTCCATGATCGGAGGAAGAGTTTAGCAATGTGAGTTGATTTTGCCACAGAATCAGCTTTTACATTACTCAAATGTGATACATAAAAAAAAAAAGACAACATCAAAAGAAATACTAAAGTGATAAACATCAAAGACAATACCAAACAGAGCTGGTGTAGATCTTTTATCTCACAGCATCTTAACAAGAGAAAGGGAATCTAACTGTATCATTAAGCATTTAACATTTGATGAAGCAGATACATAACTGCTGAATGGATGAGAGGACTTTTGCCATAATCACCGAAGAAACAGAGCCGCGAGAGTCAATCAATGGTTCCAGTCGCGGCATCGGACTAAAACCTGAAAAGATGCATCCAATACCACAATTACCAGTCCTAGCATCCCATGCAGCATCGACGTTTCAGATAACTGTATCGGGCATAGGTGATCCTTGTTCAAAATGTATTATCATACTAAATTTATTTCTTGCTCGAGTCGACCAACTTCTCTCAATAGAAGCTAGACAACAACCTAATATTCATTATTTTTTCGGCGCCTAATTTAAGTTAATATATACAAAATGTTCTCTGCTCAAAAGAAAAAATTATACAAAATGTGTCATCCTTTTTTAAGAGAAATCGTCAAGTTTATGCATGCACTTACGTTATATATGGACTTTTTTAGTGTCGTAGGTTTTCGGAAAACTTAAATCTATCAAATATTTGGACTTTTCACATGTTGACAAAACTTTCAGCAAGTCTTTATATTTTAAAGAGTAAAGACTTGCATGATTTTGATTAAAAAAAAAAAAAAGACTTGCATGATAATAGTTTTTCTCCAAAACCGTCATAAGTTGTTACAAGTTGTAATTAATTAGGAGTTAGTGGCATTTCACGTATAAACACAATTGGAGATTTGGACAACCAGTGTTGCCTTTCAGTCTGAGTCACAAATACCTCTTTTGATGTGATCTAACTAACAGTCTCTTTCTCTCTCAGTAACACTTACATAAAACTGAAGTTTTCAATTTGTTTGTGGGCAACGACCATACCAAGACGATCGAGAGTGCTCAAATTTCAAACTTGAATAAATCTATGTCACGAATCAGTTAGTTGTTCTGATTTGTTATTAAACTTTGATCCATGGTTTGACTAATCATTCTTCGGACTTTAGATACCACGAATAACATAATTATTTAGTGTCGTATCACTCTATAAAACAGAATGTGAGTTTAAATCTCGCAGCACCCGAACATCATGTTGTACTAGTTGAACAGCTGATGCATTAATCATTTAAATCTATAATATACAAAGGTCAAAGAGTCAACTATATAGGGAGATATTGAGATCGCTAACACCGGTTGTATTGCTTAAACAAAATTAATGCTAATACACGACCGGTCCACCATCGCTGGAGACTTTTCACGAGATTATAAATCTTTGTTTACTTCATGTCTTTGTTGGTGTTTAAAACAAAACAAAGCAATTTCCTCAAAAAAAAAAAAATAGCTTTAAAAATGTAGAAGTCCTTATCAACGGCTTTATTTGTAACTTCCGACCATTTTCTTTAGAAATTGTTTGTAGCATACCTCCATGAAAACCATATGTATTATTTATATTCGTGAATATGTACAACATAAATTCATGTGCACCAGTTAACATGCAAACAAAAGAAGAGCAAATAGTTATGAAAATGCGCATGTAGTATATATAGCCGTTGTGATTGTACTAATTGTATACTACAAGTGCACAAACACATATATATTCATTCGTCTCCATTAACTTATATATATTGTCCCTATTTGAATTAAACTAGTTGTAACAAGAAAACAGCTCATCGTCGCCAAAATGCAACTCTCTTTTTGGTTGTTGTATAAAAAAAATTTTCCAGCTAATTTTTTTTTGACATTGTTTACACTCAACAGAAGTTCATATCATGATGGTGTACAATAAAGTTTATATGTTTCCACTCTAAAATAAGGAATTAGTGAGACAAAAGCAAATGAATTGCGTGTACACAATGAATGTCATGAGACTCATGACGGCGACTATGATCTTCACTACCTCACATGATCTCAACCATATACATACGTATATTTATTTATTTTTTGGGTCAAAATGTATATTTTTTATATCAATCCTATTTATAAAAAAGAATCATGATGTTAACTCTTTTATAATTTTATTTCAAAATAACATTATAATAACTTTCACATTCAAATTAGAAACTAGTTAGAACAAAAGTGGGTCCTTCACCTTAATTAGTGGAGTTCTCAATATCCTAATGATGTAGGTACTAGCTAGATTCCAAGAGAGAGTTTACATCACCTTTTCTTCAAAGCAGCCTCTTGAGATTTTTTCTCAACCGCTTAATTATATAATCACGGAACCTTTGAATGGTTGAGGAGAAAACTTCTTAAAAATAGCATAGGAAATGACTAAGTTGATTAGAAATCTAATGGAATTTCTTGATCTGAATTGTTGTAAAAGCTTGTGCTGGTGTTGAGATACAAACTGTTTCCACCATAAGGACGATGAACAGGAGGAGACACATGTTGTTTCTTAGAGAGATTTTGAGGCTGAGAAGTTGGTTTTAAACTTGAATAATCTCCATGTGAAGTCTCTTCTCTTAATTGGTTGATAACCACCAGATCCTTTCCCATTAGCCGCAACACCGAGTTGGAATTTGAAGGAGCCGCAGGCACAGTAGTGATGATGTTATGAAGCCTATAAGTCTGTGTTTCAAGAGCTGCATGGTTTGAGATTACTGATTCAGATGAGTTTCTGTCAGTGAGATCAGGCTGATCTTGGGAAGATTTGACATGGCTTGTAATAACTGCATAGTTTCCATGATGTTCAGTTTCCATATCCCAAGGACACTGTAGAAATGAACCTGGAGGTCCTGGAATAGGAATGAGATCAACCTCCATGAATGTGCTTCCTCCTCGTTCACAACCACTTCTCTCGTAAACCAACTCATTGGTTTTGTCCAACATATTACCATCTCCTTTGTTATTATTACCAGTCTCTTCACCACCAGTAGTTGAAGTATTCGAGCTTAGAAAGACCCTATCTGCTTCTTCATTATCATCCCAATCTGTCAGTACACGTTCTTGAGTCATTTCAGACTCCCATCTCCCTGAATCTTCATCTTCCTCTTCTTTCTTCAACTTCATAACACTCTTACCCCCGGATCCAAACACCTTCTCCACATGCATTGAACATCTCTCCCTTTTAGTGATCTTTCCAGAGACTTGGCTCTCGCCACAACTTCTCCATGAGTTTTGACTGATTAAAGGATAAGAAACTGTCTCGGATAAATCAACACTCGCATGACTTGGACCTGTTGACACAAGAGGATCTGCTGACATTGGATGCTCATTCTTCTTAATCCTACACTGAGTTGTACCTGGGGTTTCTGACTTCTCCATGACTCTACATTTTCCAGAATAACCTCCTCCTAGATACTCCAATATCTGTTACACAAGTGACTTTGCTAAATATTTTTCTTACCTCAAGAATCAAAAATGAATCATGCAAATGTATAAACTACCAAAAAGACACTATGAAAAGTCGAATAAGAGCACGCATACCTCTGAAGCATTGTCTTTACAATGCTTGTAATACTTCTTTCCCCCAAGTCTTTTCCCTTTAAAATACTTCTTCTCACTGACATCTTCTTCATGCTCTCTTGATGGTTCAGAAGCTTTCTCGTTAAACTCAGATATAATCCGCAGTTTTTGTCCCTTAGCATCAGTGTAGACAGGTCCAATGCCATTGCCAGCAGCATCTTCATCAATGACGCTGTGATTCTTCCTTTTGTTGCACACTTCAGTCTTATTCTTCTCAGAGACTACCTGGTTTGAGTAGCTTGAAGTCACAGCCCACTTTCTTCCATTTCTCTCATCAATATCTTCCAATGTGCATCCTTTTGCAGCAGCGTATATATCAACCATAGTTTTAACTTTCATCCTTGGCTTACCTCTAGGGTTGCTTGGCTTGCTGATTGCCTGCTGTCCAGAGTCAATGTTGGCTACTTTTATTTTGGATTTTGAATTACTCACCAAAGAACCATTCTCAAAGCCATGTTTAGACTCTGCTAATGCATGATTGAGGACAAGTTTTTCAAACTTCCTCTTGCAGCTTATCGCTTCAACAAGAGCTATGTCTGGCTTCTTCAATGAAGAAGCTTCAGGAGGATGGCTTACCACAGAGTTAAGAGGCTGCATTGATGGCAATGGATCACTTAAGCCATGTTTCAAACAGAGTTGCAAACTTGTTGAGGAAAACGGCCAGCTTTTCTGAATGTTCTTGCTCCGGTTATTACATGCATAATCTCTACAAAACCATCACAAACCAAAAAGAAACTCTCAACTATTAGTAATCCAGACAAAACAAAGGTTTTTTTTTCTCTTTTTTGGCAAAGGGCTTGACAAAACAAAGGTTACATCCTTTGTAAAGAAAACTTCACATGGTATGGACCAACGTATCAAAGAACAAAATATAAAGAAATAGTCAACACACATCATATACCATAGTACCATTTAAGCTCCACAGGTTCCCAAAAGGTAAACTAAAAATAATTAAAAACCTTTTTGTTTTGAATCTGACCCATTAAGAAAAATTGAATGGATGGGAAGAAGAATCTATTCATCTATTATGAACCAGACTCATCAAGAAAGCTAAAGACTTTGAACTAAAACAATGGTGAGGAAAGAAACTGTTGACTTCTTCTTCATAAACAAAGTGGAGAGAGTGAGGAAAAAAAAAAAGGAAAAACCTTCAAAAGATTACCTGATGGAGAAGTTGGAATGATGTGATTGACCTAACTCATCACTACAGTTGGTTAGACTTAAGAAAATAAAAGAGGTTGATGGATTATTTGGAGAGCCTTCATCAGTGGATGATGATGATAAGAACATTTGGTGATTCTTCTAGTGTTACCATTCACATGAACCTATAAGAGTTTTTTTTTAAACCTATAAGAGTTTGAAAAGAATGTTTTATATTCTTTAAATTTGAACAAACCCCCATAAGAGGAAAGTGTAAAACCCCAGAGAAGATCTTTCCAGAAAAAAAAATATTATTATTATTTCATGTGAAGAAGAGAAAACCTTGAATAATATTAGAATTATTATTACTAGGTGGGATTTTGAAGTTTCTGAGTTAGATTAGTGAAAGGAAATCACAAAACATGAACAGTTAAGATATAATTTTTATTCAATTTCCAGTTTCCAAGTTGATTGGAGTGTATTATTTTATGGGAGGAATCGCATGAAATCCAAGACATCACATTAGAGACTGATAGATCAAGATTTGTAGAAACCCATATATAGAAGAATTTAAGCAAGCATCTAGTGATCTTAAATAGACCAAAGATCGTTGAGAATTTTCCAGAAACTATTGACAGAAGATAAAAAAAAAAAATCATGAAGATATGAAAGAAGATTAACCAAACCAGTCAGTTTCAGAAAACGGATCTTTACTAGTGGATGAAATAATTAGAAGAAGAAAAATTACAGAAACATGAGATTTAACAAGAAATCTGGGAAGAAACAAACAAAACAAAAACCAAGAACCTTAATATTAATTAATATCATGAACAGAAACTAGTGTGGATCGTACAATACCAAAACTTACAGAGATTTATGTGTATACACATGCAGACCTGTTTCGAAGAATATAAGCTTGGATCTTTGGAAAATATTAACAAATATTTAAAGGAAAGTACGAACAAGAGATTGTAATTTGGTGATACAATCAATACAAAAACATAAGTAAAAGAAGAAGAAGTTGTTAAGAAATCATAAACACAAAAAAATAATAACACTAAAATATATACTAACCTTTCGAGGATTGATTATTTCAGAAATGGTTTTCTTGGCAGAAGAAAAGATTTTTTCAGAGAGAGAGAGAGAAATGAACAAGAACCACGCACTCACACATCAAAGTGGTATCAGGTTCTCTTAGTAATAAATAAACAAAAATTAAACAACAAAAAAGTAATAATTAAACAAATGATTTAATACAATAAGGTAAACTAAAAATGTTAAAAGCGAAAACAATTTTCTTTTTCCTTTTTGCCCTCGTCGCTCTCTACCTTTCGCCTTTGTATATAATTTTATTTTCAACTCCTAAAAGCTGAACTCAGTGGTAAACTAGAGGCTGCTATTTATTTTATTTTGTGTTTATTAAGTGGTATTTCTGTCATTGTGTAATTTGTGTTTATACAAAAATCTAATGCTAGACCTAAGAGCATCTGCATCAGCAGTTTATGGCACGAAATCCAAAAAAAAAAATATTTTTTAATTTCGTGGACCCCCCATTTTCAACGAACTCGGATCGTCACTAAGAGGCAGTTCAGCACGAGTTTATCACTATTCCGCGGGCCCCACGTCACGTGGCGGCCCACGATAGGTTAGATTATTATTTTTTATTTTTTTTAGAAGAAAAACAAAAAAAGGAAAAACAAAAAAAACTTACCTTGGAATCCGCGCCCCACCGAATCGCTGATGCGGTTGCTCTAAACTCCAAAAACTCCCCCGCCTGCAAGGTTCCAAAACTGCAGAAAAATCCCCCAGCGAAAAACAAACACTTCACTCACAATCACTGCCTTCAAAATTTTATCTAACTCCAAACCATGATTTCTTACTCTTTATCCTCATTCAATGTTTTGTCCCATTTGAGTTTTCATTGATGAGGTTTTAGCCAGGAGAATTTCATGGTCTTTCTAAGCTTAATTTGTTCCATATGGTTAAGCTTGAGGGGGTAGCTTCACTTGTTCCATATATGGTTAAGTTTGAGGGGGTATTAGTGATTAGTGATTTGATTGCTTCTCTTTTTTTTGGTTTTGAAATGTTATTGGAGTTTTGTAGCCTCAATTCAAAAGCAGATGCACTTGATGTAATATAGTTTTTGTTTGAATTCAATTTTAAATCCATTCAAAAAAAAATCTATAAATGCTTTTTAAATACAAACTTATAACTTATTTTATTAAACACTGTTACTAATTTGTCTATTTTATTTTTTCACATAAACTACCTATTTCAAATTACAAACGCTGAAAATCCAAATTTATGAACTTTGAAGGGAATATAAATGTGTTTTAGACTAAGATTGAGATTATGACTTAGAGGAAAAGGTTTGAGTAAAATCAGTTTTGGGACGAAGTCTTGGAATGGTTTATCAGATTTGGAGAAGTTACCTTTTTAGGGACAACAGATTATTCAAGAACATGCATCATTAGGTGATGGCTCCACATGACCTTTAAACTATGCTTTTCCGTGATATCGCCAAGAAATGATTTGGGAACTATGACCTTGGCCAGAGCGGATATTCCAAGTATACCATAGTGGGAACATGACATGTAGAACAAACGATGTTCATGATGACATAGAGGTGGCGTCCATAAGATTGGCTAAAAATCAATACTTACGAACTTTGAAGGAATTACAAAATGCGTTTATAAACGATCATTCCACTATACTAGATGGCAAATGAGATAATGACTAGGGTATGGATTGACTAACATATCAGTTTTGGGACAAAGTTTTTGAAAAAGTTTTATCAGACTAGAGGAAGTTCTTTAGGGACTAAATTTATGAACGAATAATCGTTGATGAGCATTTATCAACAGATGATAGCTCCACTCTACTGTCCACATGACTTTAATACTATATATGCTTTCCGTGATAATCGCAGAGAAATGATATGGAGTTGTGATCGTAGAGAATAGTCGAAATTTATCGATGTACGTAGTACAAACAAATGGTCATGATATTTTTCAAAATTACATACAGGTGTTGTCCTACAGATTGGCTGACACGCTCAAGTCAAAAGAAAATCATGTGACCGCTGTTAGAATACTTTTGAACAAAAAGATGAAAAAGGTTAATTCTGATTTGAGGGAGAGGATAATCAACGACTCTATATGCTGTTCAGTGTGCTTTTCAGAATCGGACTGTTGTAGAAGCAAACCAGGTTCCTGAGAAAACGAGATCCAATTTTCCTGGAAAGCTTAATAGCCGCTTGTGCGTTCGAAAAACAAAGCAGATAAACTTCTTCTTTTTTCTACAATATTATTGGAATAGAACCTTTTAAAGTTTTCATTGTGAAAAGTAATAGAGTATGTACATGATCTTGGTTTGTGATTCGGGTGGTGTCTTGGGTTGTGATTCGGGAGGCCTGAGCTCAATAGCTGGATCATTAAGTAAGTAAATCATGACAACAATGGTCACATCTACTACATTAGAAGTCAATTTTCACCATGCATGTTTTTATTAATTATGTGTTGATTTGGTTCTATCAGAATATTGTTATGATCGTTACAAAAAAAAAAGAATATTGTTATGATGAAAGCAGAAAGAACAAAAGCTCTAATTTGTGTAATCGTCGTTATCATCACATTATTAGAGAAGTTAAAGAAGAAAAAAAGAAGTAAACAACAATAAAAGAGAAGGATGAGTGACATCTTGTGGAAACGTAAAGGGCGAAACAAATGAGGGGTTTAGTCAAACATCATTTTCCTCATACGTCCATATTCCACATGGCACATGCACTTTGGACTTATTAGGGTTGGTCCCATTTCTCCTCCAATACACAACATTTCATGAATGATAAACTGTTTAGTAAATGGATTGGAAATTTGGAAGTAAGCAACCAAAAAAGGGGGAAAAAGAAAGTTTTATAGCTTCTATAATTGCAAGGATAAATCACAAGAATAGTTTGACAAATTTAAACATTCAGCTGGAAAAATAAACAAAACAAATTAATAACATCACAATATATGTATATCAAAAAATATTTCAGTTGAGCATTTTTGTGCTTTATATCCTCGTGAAAGTTGTATCTTGTCTTGATGGTTTTCACTGAACTTCCTTGTTTTTTTTTTTGCTTAAAGCTTCTTTGCTGAAAAGTGATTGAATCTATATAAGACTAAATTGTGTTATGATGCATTTCGTTCTAACACCTGGAACATTTTCTCTAGGCAAGTTCGGGAATCCATTGCCCTAAGAGTTCTCCAGTATCTTCTAGAAGGTTCTCAAGCTGAAATCACTGGAGATAAGGACACAAGCTTAACCAAAAGACCTTACAACCTTAAGAATCTTAAGCTTATGATAATATATTGTCAATCACTTTTAAATGCTCAACCATAAAGGATGGGGTCCGTGACTCCGTATAGTTAAAACGTAAAAGTGAAGGAGCGAAGAGCGGTGCATGACGTGTTGAGAGGACCTAACTTTGTCATTCCTGAGATCCCAGGTTTGTTATGTAATGTATTAACTTATCTTTCCTTCAGATTCTACAAGGACTTTTGTAGACGGAAAATGGAGTCCGCCAAGTTGAGAAGTGAGTTATACAGTTTGGATACTTTTTTACTTTTGAAGGGAAACTTTGAACTTGTGTACTACTTGTAAGAGTTATGAAAATTCTGGTGTATTACTTGCAAGAGTGATGAACATAATGTGGGCAGCGGTTTTGTTTGATCTTTTTAACTTTTGATTATTTCATGTAGATCAACCTGCTCAATAATTAACACCAGGAAAACAGATGGAAGTAACACTTAGGTTCCCTTTCATACATGACTTGATAACTGTGACAGGATGTCGAGTACGGGAAGTTGCAAGCCCTGAATCTTGTTGGACCAGAGTCTGCAGACCTGTCTCAGCATGAGGAATAACACACGCAGTTAAATATCTCCCACATGCCGAGAAAAGGGCTACAACTAATTTCACTGCAAAGATAAACACACAAAATGTATCTCCATAAAAAAAGTGAACTATTATATAGCATCACGATCATCACAACAATATTAAGGAGAAAATTTACCAGCAAAGAACAGCATGATATGTATTGTTATTTGAGACGTTGAGTATCCCACATGGGTCTTTGATGTCATGTGACCACACTCTCAGTTTGACAGTACAAGGCAACTCTGCAGCAGCAATCGAAAAAACCTATTTAAGGAGTTAAGCTGGCATGACCACTGTAGAAAGGACCCCTGAGTTACCACCAGCCTTGCTCTGAGCCATCAACCACCCTTGTCGAAAAGGTAACTCCCACGAAACTCTGTCTCTGAAGTGAGCTCATTGCTGAAATTGTCCAAACTCAAGTAACCTGGAGATGTTGCTCTAGTCATTGCGGAGTCTGATGAATCAATGTCACTGCCACCAGCCATTTGTAGTTGATGGAGTAAGCCCGAACTATAACCCAAATCCTCAACAAAAAAAAAACAGTTGAATTGATGATACTAAGACTAAACCATATCGTCGTCATCTTGATCCTCTGAATCAACCTTACCATCGTCACAGTGCTTACATGTCATAAAACTAGATGATGGAGTTTGATGCAAAACATGATCAATCCTTTTCTCAATCCAAGCTAATCTTCTCTCAAAGCTCAACACACCTCTATGCATATTCCTAGCATCAATCTCAGCGACCCGAGCGCAAACACGCAAAAGAATGTAGTAGTCAGCGTGAACCGCGTATGTTAATGCTCCATCTTCTTTCTTCCTCACATACTGAATATACCCTTGTCTCTTTACTTTCACTCGTGGCGGTATGTAGACGAAAAAGTTCTCCCCCATGTCTGCTATTAGTCTGCTTATCGCTCTCTCCTTGGATCCATCTTCTTCATCATGATGATCTGGTGATGGAGAATATTCCAATGATGGCTCCATTGACCTGGTTTCGCTTGTTGTTGCATTACTACTACAAGGAGTGTCTCTTCCCCTCTTAATTGGAGTCTCGGATTCCTCGTCTACCTTCTGGTAACTATTCCACAGCTTACCAACGGTTCTGTATGTGTCATCAGCTGATGCTGCTTCTAATCCAGCAAAGATCTCGTTTTTCCCGTGCGATAAATATGACAAAAGATCAGTCTCAAATCCATCGTTTGTTTCAGCATCGAGCTCGTAATATTTCCTTTCAAGGGTCTTCATAAGCTCTTTCGTATCAAACTCAGTAGCCTTCTTGACTTGTGTTAACTCTCCATCATCATCACCAGACTCCTCCGTCTCACTAGCAGCAGCATCATCCAAACTCTGTTCCCACATACCGAAACCATTGATGTTATAAAGCATCCGTATGGCCACAACAAGAACAGACATGACACAGACACGAGAGGGAAGCCTGTGCTGGCTTTTGGACAAGTATATCTCCGAAGGCATTGCCCAGTAGTGTATGAGACGCACAAGATCAACAACCTTATCCTCCGGAACAGACAAACGCTTCAGATAGTTCAAAGCAATGGCGTAGAAATTCACGGGAGGCAAAACCAAACCGATAACATCAGCAATGGAGGCGGCTTGTGCTTCCAACTTGTGAGCAGAAAGAATCTCATCAGGGCTGAACATCACGCTTGCTCCCACAGGACACGCAGCTGTACGCTCTCCCATCTGTTCTTGAATCTTGACGAAGCATGACTGATACGGAAGCTTACCTTCTCGTGCCCATCTCACAATATCCGTGGGTAGAACCGGTGCTCCCGCATTGTGACAAGCAAGGAACGATATAGCGAGAGAGCTAGACAAAGGCAGAGAGTTCCTAAGCTGACTTAGCCATATCATCACTGCTCTTTTACCATCAAAGCTACGATGTTCTGAATCATCACCTTTGCCTTTTTTTCTACTCCGCTTCTTACTCTCTCTTACTTCTCCATTTGTCTCTACAAATTGAAATTAAAGAACAAATCATCAAGTATAACCAAATAAAGAACACTAATGGCTATACAACTACTCTTTCCATTTCATTTTAATTATCTTTCTACATCTGTACACATAGACTAAAAAAACATTTAATTTCGTATAATTTCTAAACAAAAACATCATTAAATTTGCATTGAAATTCAACAAAAAAACTTAATTTCTAACTAATAAACATGCGCTACCTTGAGACTGAAGCTCGGAATCACGAATAGCATTATCAGCCCAATCTTGATCAAAAGCACCAGAGACAGCCAAGAAACGTAAAAAAATCTCTGGGACAAGACCAATAATTAACGGCGTCACATAAAACTTATCAACCAACGCATCGCACTGATAAGTCATCATCATGATAAGACCACTAGCGTATCTCTCCCTCGTCTGTTGATAACAATCCTCGTAGCTCAAAGGAACAGCTTCTCCTCCGAAATCCTCCGGATCCGTTGGCGCTCCTATGTCGTCTCTAGTAGGTTGTTGAGGGGTCTTGGTTGCGGATTTGAGCTGAGATCGAAACTGGGAGTAACGGTTCGTTTCCTCGGGATGCGAAGGAGTTGCTGTTGGCTGTGTTGCTAGACGGCGAGTGTTGGCCTGTGAATACGTTCCCACGCGACCTTCTCCGCCTATGTCCTCGTCGTCCGCGACGGTTGCGATTATATCGGCTGCTCGATCTCCGCAATTGAGGCAGTAGAAGAAACCGTCTTCTTCTTCGAATGTGTTGTTCTCGCAGCCATCGCAAATCATCTTATTACTCTCCATGATTGATTCTAGAGAGAGAGAGAGAGGAATAAACCCTAAATCGGCACGAAGAGGGTAAAAGAATTAAGTATGGGGCCCCATAATGCTCAATTACTTAAGCCTGCTAACACAGAATTAAAGCCCATGAAAGCTATTACGATCGAAACGGGACACTAGGATTGAACCGGTCTTCGGTTAGAGATTGGGGATGTTCGTTTCTCTATTTGTCATTTCCATCTAGCGGCTAGATGATCCATTCAGATTTTACATGATGTAATGAACAAATTACAAATATAAGCTTATTTTGCAATCATATGTTTGATATTAATTTTAGCTATGCTAATTTATTACTTAGTTTAAAGTATATACATTGAAATTATTTTAAAATTAGCATTTTGACATTTTAGGATTTTTCGATGGGACAATGTGCTTTGCGGTTTTAGCAATACAATGCATTTTCGATTTTAGTGATACAAACGCGTTTTTGCAACAAAAAAAAATCATTTTGGCAGGAAATACGTTAGGCCTGGGCATTTTACCCGGACCTGAGGACCCGACTCGGAACCGATCCAAAAAAGTGTGGGTGGGGTAGGAAGCAAACCGAACCTTTTACCTTATCGGGTCTTAATATGGAGGATCCACGGGTCTAGACCTGATGGATACCCGAAATTTCCAAAACTTCTTATATATATTATGTATATATATGTGTTTTAATTTTTTGATCTTATGAGTATTATTTTAAGTTTCAGATTTGGATTTTCGGGTATAAGTTTGAGTTTTATGTAAAATTTTAGATTTTAAAAATATAATTCGGATAATCAAATAAAATTTTGGATATTTATATGTCTTCGGATCAAATTTTGAGTAAAATTTCGGATATTTTTTGAAATTTAAAAAATTTCAGGTTTGTTTGTGTATTTTTGGGTATTTTTAGGCAGGAAAAACACATTTTCGGTTTTAACAAAAAATACATTTTTCGGGTTTGACAGAAAAAGCACATTTTTGGTTTTGGCAGGAAAAACGTGTTTTTTTGGTTCTGGCAGAAAAACGTGTTTTTAATTTTTGTGGGTAAACACGTTATTTTAATTTTGACTAGAAAAATGCATTTTCGAGGTTGACGGAAAAACACGTTTTTATAGTTTTGTTGGGAAAATATATTTTTCGATTTAGGCAAAAAAGCGTGTCTTCGGTTTTGTCAGGGAGAACACATTTTTTGGTTTCGACAAGAAAACATATTTTTCTCTTTTGGCGAAAAAACGTATTTTTCGGTTTTAGCAAAAAATATGTTTTACGGTTTTGACGAAAAGAAAAGATTTTTTATTTTGGCGGGAAAACGCATTTTTCGGTTTTGACGTGAAAATATACTTTTGGTTTTTGTGGAAATTGCAGTTTACTCATTTTTTCATGAGTTACAAAATGATTTTAGGTTTAGGTTTATCGTTTGTAAATTATATTAGGGGTATAATAGACATTATAACATTTGGCAAAACCATCTCTTTCCAAATGGTCAAAATTAGTCTATTCAAATGGACTTTAAAATTAAACCTATAATTTAAAAAATCATTCAGATGAGCCATCGAGATGATTTGTATTTTTAATATCCAAGCAAACAAAACTCTTATTTTCATCCAAATAGTTCATCTAAATGGAGAAACGAACAGCTTCATAGTATCTCACCGGTCTTCATTTAGGTTTCAGTCTCTCTTATGCCAATCTCAAAGAATCCGCGACCATTGAATTCAAAGTAAGAGTCCACTCCTTCTCTTTTAACCTGAATCCCTGATGCTCGTCTTGTGCAAACACAGGAACAAAATGTCTGGAAGAAAAAATTGGTGATGATTGTCTGTAATTTCTCAAATAGTTTTTGGTTTTTGTTTTCCAAAAACTAGTTTTTATCCAATCAAGGTTCTAATTTTTGTTTTTAGTTTTTGTAAAAACTATTTTTTGCCAATAAAGTTTTTCAATAATTATATTCTCTCAAGTTTAGGAAAACTGGTTTTTCAAAATTTTAGGTGATGATTGTTTAGTTAGATTCTAGATTTTGGTTGTTTGGTTTTTTGGTTTTAGTTTTTTGGTTTTTGAATTTTAGGCGATCATTGTTTAAATAAGTTTTAGATTTTAGTTTTTGGTTTTTAACTTTTGGTTTCTAGTTTTTAGATTTTTGTTTCTATGTTTTGGTTTTTGATTCTGTAATAGAATCTAGTTTTTGTAAAAACATGAATGGGGATTTTGGGTTTCTAGCTTTTGACTTTTAAAAAAAAATAAAGTAATAGATTTTAATTTATGTTTAGTTTTTATGTTTCTGTAGTTTTGGTTTCTAAAAAACTTGAATGATAATTTGTGTTTTTTATTTTACTATATATTTAAGTTCAGAAAAGAACAATTTACAATGTTTTTTAATATTTTTTAAAAATAAGAATAAAAGATTATTTACTATGAAAACAACAAATAATACAAAATACTCTCTCTATTTCATAAATATATCAATTAAAGGATTTTCACACATATTAAGACATGAAAACTCTATTTTACCCTATGTTCAAATAGTTAATATTTTTTCTCTGATTAATAAATCAATAAATAAATGTTTTCCATGAATATTTATTTAAAATTATGCATTGAGAACACAAAACAATACTCTTTTTAAAACAAAAATAAAACCCTAGAACGCCACTTTAAAAAAAATAGATGGAATATTATCACTTAAAAATACATTTATTCATTTAAATTAAAATTATTTTGAAAACAGAAAAAAATAATAACTATATAGATGAACCAGAATTCATATATATATATATATATATATATATATATATATATATATATGAAAATACATATTTAAAAAAGAATAGTTATATTTTAATTTTTCATAAGTCAGCTATTATAAACAAAAAATATCAAAAGTTGTATTTTAAAATTACTATTCAGTTTTACACATATTAAACAATATACAATTGATAGTTGTTTGTTATTTTAACATACTATATAAAATTTAAATATATTTTAATAAATTTAGGAAACATTATAAAATTATAAATATATTTGGTCAGTTTTTTAAAAAGATAATTTAGAAATTATTTTTTTGTTATTAAACAAAATAAAAATTAATAAAATAATGTATCATGAATTTTAACAAACAGTATCCATAGTACTCAAATGATTCATACTAGAACGTTTTTTTATACTGTAGTTATCTATTTATCTTTTTTTATATTAAAGCATAAATATAATTAAAAAAAATTTTAAAAAATGAAAACCAACGTAAGATTAAAGAAACCATAAAAATTTTGTTTTTTGGTTTTTATGTTAAGAAAATAGTTATTGGCAAAAACTAGTTTTCCTATGTTTTAGGAAATCTATTATTTCAAAATTTTGATTGGATGCAAAATGGTTTTTGGAAAAAACAAAAACCAAAAACTAATCTAAAAACCACAAACAATCAACCTCTTAGATTTTGATTTTGCAGTAGATTTTGATTTTTTTGAAAAGCTTGATTGGTGGTTTTAGATTTTGGTTTTTAGTTTCTGTTTTTGCTCTTAAAATAATAAAATGAAAAAAATATTAATAGTTTTTGTTTTGGTTGTAGGTATTATATGAAGACATCATTTGAATAATGATTTTGGTTTCTAAGAAGGAATTATGTGATGATTGTTTGTAGTTTCTGAAAGAGTTCTCAGTTTTGTTTTTCCAAAAACTAATTTTTACCCAATCAAGGGTTTTTGTTTCTCGTTTTTGTAGAAATCATATTTTTGCCAATCATGTTTTTGAGTAAACAGATTCCCTAAACTTTAGGGAAACTGGTTTTTCAAAATTTTAATCAATTTATGAAGAGAAACTAAAAACTCATTTTTGTTGGTTTTCAAAAAATAAAAACAATTTTTTTCTTTTTTATTAGAAAGTGATACTGTTCGTAAACCAAGAATATTCTATTATGGTTTCCTAGAATCGTGGACTTATCCCACGTATCTTTTAACATATTAGTCTTTATATACTGTTGTAAATCAACGTAAATGATCAAGGGAAATACTTCATCTTTCATGGTATCAGAGGGTTCTTACTCTAATCGATCCTGAACCATTTTTCCTAATCTTTTATTCTTCTTCTCAAATCTTTTTCTCTCTATCTCATCCTCTCTACCTTCATGGCCGCCCCTGCTGCTAATCTCACTCCTCTTGAACGTGCTTACGGCGTCACAAACATCAAACAACACATTCCCATCATCCTTGATCACGATGATCACAATTACGATGCCTGGCGCGAGTTGTTTCTAACTCACTGCCAAAGCTTTGATATCTCTGGTCATCTCGACGGGACACTGCTGCCCACAGACGCTGACGATACCGCTTGGACTAAACGGGATGGTCTGGTCAAACTATGGCTCTACGGTACCCTTACCAAAGAGTTATTCAAAATCAGTTTCAAAACTGGTGGAACCGCTAGAGAAGTTTGGATCCACATAGAAAAATTCTTCCGCAACAACAAAGAGGCAAGGGCTTTACAATTAGATCATGACTTGCAAACCACGGAGATAGGCGATCTTAACATTCACGCCTACTGCAAAAAAACTCAAATCAATCGCGGATCTCTTATCCAATGTCGATGCTCCAGTCACAGATCGTACTCTAGTTACGTATCTCCTCAATGGTCTAAGCAGCAAATATGACAACATCATCAATTTGATCAAGCATCGCCAACCCTTCCCTTCATTTGACGATGCTCGCTCAATGCTTCTTCTCGAAGAAGACCGTCTCAATAGGGGCAAAAAGTCAACCGTCATTACCGACTCATCCTCCTCCGACAAAGTCCTCAACGTCACCACCCCACCTGCAAAGTCAACAACTCAACCGCAGAAACAGAAGTTCTACAACAATTGTGGAATGAAACAAAACAACAGAGGCCGTGGCAGAGGCTACAACAATCAGTTCTGTCCAATGTACAATCAATGGGGAGTTCCTTGCTGGCCCAATGGCTACCCAATCTGGATGCAACCGCAAGCAACGCCATGGAGTAACAAACACATG